TCTCTCTCTCTCTCTCTCTCTCTCTCTCTCTCTCTCTCTCTCTCTCTCTCTCTCTCTCTCTCTCTCTCTCTCTCTCTCTCTCTCTCTCTTCTCAAAAGACGATGCGTGTGAATGATTGTCCCTCTCTTGAATGGGAATGAATCGGCATCCTGTTTCTATGTGAAAGAACTTCTTCCGGAACTCTTCCATTAGTTTCCTGGGTAATCCTTCTACGCAAGGACCCCGTCTACTTGTCTTGTGAACGGTGGATGCGTATGTACTGTGCAATGCGATCCATCTTTTCCTGTGAATGTCTCATTTTCGCACCTTCCACAGCAAATGCATGTATAGAGATGCGTGACTTTTTGGATTGATTAGACGAGTGTCGTCGGGACTTTGTTCGAGAATACAAAAGTGTTTAGATCTATAGTCCCGAACGCACTGCACATGCCATCTGCCTTATGCGGCACGACATCAGCAGCCACGTCACCAGGCGGCCTTGAGAAACAAGGTGCCGAACACCAACGTTGTGTTGAACTGAGTCGCGAGTCGGTCCCTTAGCCCTATGCATGATCAAGTTGATGTGTGTCTGCTCCCTTGTGTGTCAAGAAGGGTAGGTTGAGGGTTGCATAAATGATTTTTGTTCTTAATGACGCCTCTGGATATATGTGACTGATTGATATGTGGACTGACAAGCACCCTTCGATTGGGCGCCAGCCTCCCGTATCTCCCATCCCTACGCGACCTTTTCCCTACGGTGAGGAAAGGACACGTGTATGTGAGTGGGACGTACGAGAAGCCGTCGCACAAATCGGCGGGCAGTATTACTTCCCTCCGGCCAACCATTGTTCTGGGTTCGTAGACGCCGGATTTATCATGATCGATACGCATTTTCCACCCTACTCGATATTGTTGTCATTTAACGAGCTGATCGTCATTCCGTGGATGGCAGTGGCGCCCCATTGGCCCCGCACTCTGTGCACGGAGTGCCAACGTTTCGACCACTACGAAGCGAAGGGCTTCCACTACCGAATACGGAGTGAGGACGAGCATAAGGAAAGAGCCACTCGGCTGAGACCATCCACGTCGGATTCGGAACTGACCAGCAAACGACGACGAGATCTGATACGAAAACGAGACACGCAAAGCGTGCCAAAGCCTTTCCGTTCTAAACGACGGGCGGTAGCCCGGTGGGAAGCCCGACAGTACTTTCTGGATTGAATTCAGATCTTTCTGTTTTCGCGCCATGTCCGCGCGTCGCGGAATAATCGACTTGCTTTATCGGACCATCACGGGGAATTTCAGTTTCATCTGTGTCCCCACACTCAATTTCCCAAAAATCCATGGCACACCCCATCTTGCTGTTTTTCTGGGCCTCTTTCCGCACGTCTCACACTCCGAACGGCAGACAGCACAGGGCGTGAGGTTGCGCGTCACATGATTCTCCTGCGTGGATACGCTTCATAGACCAGTCGTTTTCCAGCTCATACTTTTGCGGTAAAAAATATAGAGACTTGTCCCAGTTCACTTTTGCTTCTGACAGGGAGGAGTACTGGTCCAATACTGTCTTGGCGGCATTCATGGATTCTGTGGTGGCCTCTGTAACCAGAAGAAGGTCATCTGCGATAGCTCCAGTTAATACCACCTTATTTGCATAGAGTTGCAGCCCTCGGATTACGGGAGTTGCCCAGAGGGTGTTGAGGACAACCTCGATTTGCAGCACAAAAAGAAGTGGAGCGAGAGGGCAGCCTTGGCGCAGCGAGCGTGATAAGTTGAACACCTGGGAGCGTCTTCCGTTGACCGAGACTGAGGTCCTAGAGTACTGATACATAGTAGAGACCCATCTTCTGAAGGAGATGCCAAAGTTCAGGTGTTCCAATGTGGCCAGTACAAACGACCAATTAACCCGATCGTCGGCCTTCTCAAAGTCTAACATTGCTACCACCACATGTCACCTCCTCTTACCAATGATCTCCAACGCACCCATTGTTGTTAACATGTTCTCTGCTATCGATATGCCTTTCACAAATGCACCCTGGTCTGCTTTCACCAGCTCCGGAAGAAGTGAGGCCAATCTTCGTACTAGAGCTTTATCTAAGATCTTGTATGCCACGTTCAGCAGGGAGATTGGGCGCCAGTTGCGCACATTCTTCTTATCCCCTTTCTTGTATAGCAGAGTAATAACTCCTCTATTCATATCCTCTGTTAGCAATTTGCCCTCCAATACCCGGTTGAAGAGGCATACCAAAATCGGTCCCACTGTATCCCAGGTGGCCATGAAGAATTCCACCGGGAGACCATCATCTCCCGGGGCTTTCCCCTTGGCCATGCATCCAGCTGCTTCCTTCAGTTCCTCTAGTGTCAAAGGTCTGTCCAATGAACGGCACTGATGAGGTGCCAGTCTCTTGTCTGTGAATTGCCACAGATCGTGTTCTCCACGGAGTTGTTCCAGGGATTCATCTGAGGGGCGCCTTGACGTCAGGATATCGCTGAAATATGCAGTCGCATACTCTGCCATCGTTTTTGTGTCCTCCGCTAAGTCTGCCTGCACATTGAGCGGGTGGAGAAGTGCTCGAATAGTCCCATGAGAGCGGGCTGGGCAAAGGCGTTGAAAGGTTTCCTTTGACATCCTATCTACCTTTGCCATACCCCTCTCCTGTGCTCTCTTCGCCCATGCTTCTTGCTGTTCGATCTGTAGCACCTCCCACTTGTTCATCCACTGGTCCAGTTTCCTCTCCCAATAAATATCCGTATACGGATCTTTCCCCATTTGTTCTTCTGCCTCCTCCACCATTCTACGATATTCGTGTCCTCCCTATTACGCTCTTTTGTCAGGATGGGGGAAAACACATCCAGGGCCCTGGTCACCATTCTGAACCCTATCTGCACCCACTCTTGCTCTTTTTCAAACCAGCCCTTTATATGCTCCCAGTCCGCCCAGTGTTGTGTACACCAATCCAATGCTGCTTGGTTCTTCAGGTGCTCTGTGTTCAACCTGAAGAAACATGTCTCCCGCTTTATTCGGGTACTCGGTTTGAATTCTGTGTACAGTGGTGCGTGGTGCGACAGGGGATCCGTAATGACTTATGCATCTAGTGCAACCTCCCACGGTTCGTCTTTTGTCAAGATCAAATCAGGACGTCTTCTTGGAGTAAAGCGATTCTCTTGTCGTTGGGCTGAGGTCTAGGTAAAGCCTGGGGTATCTAGAAACATGTGCCGATAAGTGTCTACAAGGCCTTGTGACTCCATGTATTGCAACAGCAATATCGCGTCTGCTTTCTTCGGGCCTATCTCCATTGAATCCAGGCCTGGTTGGAGTATTGTATTCAGGTCCCCTGCGATGATCATGTTGTCCTCTTTCGGTATGATATTTGGCAGGTCTGTAAAGAATGAGCGTCGTTCGCCCGGGACTGAGGGAGCATACATTGAGATGATTGTCCAACATTGGTCAACGAACAGGATGCGCACTCGCACCCAGTGTCCCCAAATATCTGTGTCTGCCACTAAGACTTCCATGTCCAGGTCACGATGGATCAGGATGGTTGTGCCACCTTTAGACCGCCACTAAGACTTCCATGTCCAGGTCACGATGGATCAGGATGGTTGTGCCACCTTTAGACCCGTCTGCTAGCGCCCACCACTGTGGCCCCTTCCACCACCTCGACAACTTCGCGATCTTCGGTTCATCCAGTTTCGTCTCCTGGAGAAAGACGATCTGTATCCTGTGGACATGGAGCCAGGATTTCGATCTAGCCCTCTTCCATCTGTCCGATTTCTCCCCGAGACCCTAGACGTTCCACATCACCATTCTTAACTTATCTGACATTCCCTTGGCCGCCGGCGGTTTGCTGTTGGATCTGCTGATCTTGTGGCCAGGTTCGCTGGTCCTCGATAGAGCTTCGACTGTTCTTCTGCGACCCTGTTGTGTACCATCACCATCTTGATTGGCCTCCCAGGGAGTAAGCAACAAATTTCGGAATGCAGGAGCCCAAAGTTGTTTGTCTGAAGGAAGGGAAGTGCCAAAGTCTGCTACCATTTTAGCAGTAATACCTTTAGTGATTAATATTTTTGGAGCTTCAAAGGTTATCGATGATACATTGAACCATTGTGGGGGGAGCCAGTGGAAACCTTGAGTTTCCAGTTGGGCCGCTGTTTCAGGAGTGACTTTAACGTCAACTACCGCCATGTGGAACTGCAGGCATGTTCCATCCTGAAAGTCCCACTTTTTGCGTCCGAGGTGAATACATGGGATGAGCCTAAAGGGGAGTCTAACAGGTAGCATTTTTAGAGTTGCCTGTCGTATCGCCTCTTTAGTGTTTGGCACTCCTTCAACCTGCATAGACGGAAGGACAAAACCACCCGGATCTGCTTTCTCCACCATCACCTTGACTCCCTGGGGTGCGAGAGAGAGAGACATATAGGAACTAATATGTTTTCTATCTGTGCTTTCGACCTTGTCCTTACGGAGCTGGGTTGACCTTCCTGTCCCGTTGCTGTCTCATTAGCTTCTCGTCTTACTTGCATCACTATTCTTCCTTCAGGAGATCCTAAGTTTAGCAATTCAAGCTCCCTGTCATCTTCTTCCCTTGTGGGTTCGCTAGTCCCCTCATCTCCTACTCGTCTCGCTAGTCCCCTCATCTCCTACTCGTCTCGCTAGTCCCCTCATCTCCTACTCGTCTCATTTTAACCGGGGCCAAGGTCGAGGCTCGATTGCCCGGGTCTCTCATTGGCTGGTCACTGGACGGCGTCGTTGCTGGTTCAGAAGTATGACCTTCCACGACCATTCTCATGGTTGCAGGCTGTTGCCCCACATTCAATGCGTCCTCTCTGCCGTATTTTGAATTGATATGGACTGTAACGAAAGAGTGGTGTTGGTGCTGCCCATTGCTCTCATAGTGAGAACGTATGGTCACAGGATCGGGTCCGCCACTTCCCTAGTGAACGTCGTGAATATTCTCAGTAGGAGGCCCGTGTATTGGGTTCGCCCCAGCGAAACCCATTCCCATCCCAGTAAGGCTTGATTCGGACTGTGACCTGAAGGCTTGTGATGGTTGCAAGTGGTAATCGGGTTAGAATGCCATGATGCCTGTATAGGTCATGCTCCTTCTGTCAGGGCTACTAGCATGACAGTCGTCCCGTGATAGGGTAAAAACCCTGGGGGATGAGTAAGTTGTGGAGAGTTGGGGTCATACCTAGGTACGAGAATGCCTTGTGCTCTAGTTGTCCCATACTAGGTAGCTCCGGAAGAGTAGGACAAAGATAGTGGGGGCGCAGGGGGTCTCAGCGGAACAAGATTAGGGGCAGGGGGAGGTGGGAGAAAATACTGAGCATTCGATCGGTAACCATCTTGCCCCTGACTCAGAGGGGTAAGGGGGGGCAACAATGCTCTCCCTAGCATAGATGAGGTGGGGAGGGGGGGCTGGGCATAAGGGACCAGTGCATTAGATCGTGCGGAACTCAGATTTGGTCTTGGTCCAGGACCATTCAGAGGGGAGGCTCCCAAGGCCCTTACCATACCTCCTCCTTCGTGTCTTCCCTCTCCCTCAGATCCCCTTCCTCTCCCGTTAAGGTTTTCACTACCCCTACCTCTTCCTCCATTACTTCCACCCAGCCCTCCAGTTCCTCCCCTGCCTCCTGGGCTCTCCCCCGATATGCCTTCCCGGCCTCCACTTCCCACTTCCCCTCTTCCCCCTCTCGCCTGTCCATTACCCCTATTATCTCCTCCTCTTCACCCTTCTCTTCCAATCTGTCCACTCGCTCTCGTTTTCCCTCTTCCTCCCCTACCACCTTGTCCCCTTGCTCTTCTCCTTTCCGGCATCGGATCATTGAATTTTGGATACTCTGGGTCAAATTCATCATGAAACCACAACAGACACTTCTGGAAAAATGGTGAATCCTGATTGGCAAATTGAACCTCTAGGAATCCCCCTGTCGGTTTCCTGACCACCACCCACTCCATGAACGAGTCTTTTACTTCAGGCACACAGTCTATCCGTACATTCCCTAATCTCGGTTTTTCAGGCCTCCTTTCCGGTGGATGAACCGTCAGGACCCTCCCCATGAAGCCTTCTACTGCACATCGGAGTGACGGCATCGCTTCCAGTGGAACTCTGAGTGCAATTATTCGGAATCTGCCGGCAAGTTCGTTGTCGCCAATTGTATCTAGTTCAATTTAGTCATCCAGGGTTTGAAAAGGACTTTAACACACCCTATGCGAGTTGGGATCCTATCTTCCCCCTTCATCACTAACCATTCTGCTATTCTTTCCGACCTTGCCACATAGGATGTTACGTTTGGCCCCTCGCCGTGTGTTCTTCCTCTTTTGGGAAGGGTTAACCATCGGGGCCAGATACCATGCATCCTCATATACTCGGATGAGTTGTTCTCTTTGGCTAATGCTGAGGGTTGTAGCAGGTTCATCGAATATTACTATCATTGTTCTGGCTTTCAGCCAGTTCACTGTCGCCTGATCAAATTCATCGCTTAGTGTCAGGTATTCAACACCGTCAATAACCTCTGTCACCCCCACGTTTACGTTAGTTTCCGGAAATAGCCCGTCATCGAAACACATATCCATAAGTGTTTTGATCCTAGGTCCATCGTCTGCGTCTGCTGGTGCCACATGAGCAGCCTTGTTGTCTCCCCTCCCACCTTGTGGCGGCGGTGGGTTGGGCAGCGCCGAGCTCATAGTTGCGTTTAGGCAGGAGTTTGGATTCGATATTCTCGGAACAGGGAATTACTAATTTGAAGAGAATGGAAGCTCTGTAATTGAATTAACTTCCACGCCACGCCCTTAGGTCAGAGCCTAGGAGGTGTTCGATAGTCGATTCCCCATATGGGTTAGTGCCTATCAAACCGGGGAAGTCAAAGTCGGTCCAACCTATTGACTCTTCAAGGTAGTAATCCTACTTCCAATTACAAGCAAATTTGAGTACGTATGAATTAAATCAGCCCGGTCAACGCTGGGACTCCCACGCGATGATCATAACGTAGGTGAAGGAGATTATTCTTTGGCACTTACCCTTCCTTCAGCAAACCACTTCTCTTGTTCCGGGATCCTTGACATCCAGTGGTGAGTCGAGCACTTTTGAGCTTGGTCCGGAGAATCCACAAAGGAGAGAGAAAGAAGGTTGTCTCGGTATTCCCAATGTCAGGGGTGCCGCCGCAAGGGTGGTTAGATAGTGCACATTACTGACGTGCGCGCCATCTGGCGCCACGTCTCAACCACATGTTCAACATTAGATGGATTGTCTATGTCTTTCGTGCTGCTCCTGGCCGCTGCTTCACTTCCATTCCCCACACCATGCTGCGTAGGTGTTTGACCCGACCATAGCCGGGAGGGCTTCAACAAATTCCCCCGTAGGTCGGGCCGTGTGCCTACCTCGGTGTCAGCGACATCGGTTCGCCCGAACCGATAGCGTGCCATGGAGCGCTCCTGCGCCCGTCGTCGCGCCCGTCCCCCCTTTTCTAGTTCTAATAGTAAATGGTAACGGTCGACCCTTCTTTTCCATGCACAGGTAGTCCGCAACTACGTCACACTACGGACATCGGGCATCGGGCGTCAAGCGTGGGGCGTCGGGCGTCGGGCGTCGGGCGTCGCTACACCAGTCTTGAAATGTGCAAAATGAGAATGAACTTCCCGCTAGAACATCACCGGATGCACCGCCGATTTCCCCCATCGGCAATGCCTGCCCAGTCCCCACACCTCATCAACGTGATGAGGGACTGGTACAGCCTTGCTCCTTTTTTTTTTCTTTTTTCTTTTTTGCAGCCTTGCTCTTGCACCACCACTGTGGTCCCCACCTACCCCGTGGGCAGGGGAGAGATTCAGGGCGAGGTCCCACTAGCAGGCATGATTGGATTGAACGCCTGAATCAGGACGCTTTTGTGGAAACGGGCACAAATGCGAGATTGAACTGCTCTTCTGCGTTTTTGGTTAAAACGTGTCCAGATTCAGGTTTTCCATCCAATCCTCTTTGCTAGTGGGACCTCGCCCCCCGGTTGGTTGGTGTTCCCCCGTGCTCCCGTACTATACATAGACGAGTACTGGCAAGAAGATGAGATTTTCTATTTATTTATTTATTTATTATTATTTTTATTATTTTTATTTTTTGTTCAGTGTCGAGGTCCCACTAGCAAAGAGGATCGGATCCCCAGCGGCCTAGCTCAGTTGGTAAGGCACGCAAGTGGCATTCAGGAGGTCTTGGGTTCAATCCCCATTGGCCTCATGTACCTTCCTTGGCAAGCTTGGCGCCCGCCACCTAGAGATATGTCATTGGTCCCCCCGAGTGGCATTGAGCAGAGACTGCTGATGTTCATAGGGGGAGGGGACCGGAGGGGAGGCACAGTGACTGACCCATCGAAGAAGCTCGGTCCT